AGTGGGGCCAATATTCAATCCCAGGTCAAGCAGATCAGCAGCACAAAGCCGGGGTGCTTCTCAGAATACTGGCATTGCAAAGGCCTTTCATGTCTGGGGGAAAGAGGGCAACAGGGATTTGAAATGACATGAGGCTGAGAGACAAAGACTCATTTACTACCTGCAGAGGAGTCTGACTTTAATGTTGAAACCAAGAGGACTTCCTAAGAAATTTACAGCAGAAGTGACACAGTAGAAAAGCCCTGTGATATTATTGACATAAGGGTGCACACAGTTAGACTACATTATTGGGGTATGTAAGGTAAAGTCTGATCTGTAGTTGAGTCCTTCACCCAGGAGATGTGCCCTATATGCCTACATTGTGCCCGATAGGTGACAGGTGGGAGCTTACTGAGCCCCTTTCCTCCCTCCCCCTTCCACTTGAATTTAATTGTGTTTTTCCTCTCCTGTGGGCCTGTAGTTGTTCATCTGCTAGCTTCAAATTAGTATTGAGTACATGGGATGCTTGCTGGTCCATTCCTGAGACACTTTACCAAAGAGATCCCATTTCCCTTCCTTCTGCCCTAAAGGTAGCCACTATTGTGAGCTTTCTGCATTATCAGTCCTACATATATTTTTACACTTTTGCTGTAAACTTAGTCATAAATAATTTGTGTGTTTTCAAATTTTAAATAAATAAATCTTATGACTATGAAAAAGAAAACACACATGCAGTGGTAGCAATCAAGAGAATGAAGGCAGCTGATGGGCAGGGGTCTTGGGGGAGGAAGAAGAATTAGCAAATGACTGGAATAGCCCAGGGGCGAAACACTGAGGCCCCAGCCAGTGGGCCTTGACAGTGGAAGTAAGCAGAGCTCTGTCTACAATGACCTCATGACCCATTAACCTGGCTTCTTGTTGGATGAGATTGCTATCCGTCTCCAAGTGATTATGGGTTTCAGTGGGTCTCCATGGGAATGTCCTGTTGCTTTTTTCTTCTCCTTTCATTCCTTATGTTCATCCTCAGAGTGTGCACCTAATTATATTCTGCTTTCTGCTTTCCACATTCAGTAAATATTCATGAAGTAGCTAATAGAACACGATGAAACCTGAAAAGTGGTCTGCAAGATGGAGTCTGAGATGCTCAGCTGAAGCAGGACAGCTGACCTAGGTTGCTAAACTCACATCTCCCCCTAACGCCTCGTGATTATCTAGTGACAGTTTGTCCACGATTGTGAGGAAATCTGTCTCAGGAGATGCTGAGGATGTACTCAGGCACAGACAACAGGTGTTGTAATATTGGTAGAGTAAAAGTTACTTTCATAATATGATGTTTTCTAAAAAATAAGAATAAGACTATGGAACAGTGCCTGTGGCTCAAAGGAGTAAGGTGCTGGCCCCATATGCTGGAGGTGGCGGGTTCAAACCCAGCCAAGGCCAAAAACTGCAATAAATAATAATAATAATAATATGATGTTTTCTTTAATGATTCTCTTGGATATTTTGTTAAAGTGAAAATTACCTTTACGTTATTTAAACATTTTGCATTGTTAGAGCCAGGATGACTTTGATGTTATTTTCTGTCAGATAAAGTTAAAATTTTCTAAGTTTGTTTCCCGGTACTCCCATTACAAAAATTATTAGAATGGTAACTGAGGCAGAACCGATGTGAGAGACTACTCTTGCTGTCCTCTAGAATTGCTGGCCTTCTGATGATGAAGGTTTTTTCGATTGAAAGCCCATCTGTGCATATTGGCTGACAGTGCAAGGCAGTCAGCCCTTCTCTGTCCGGTAACAACAAATGACACCACTTTATAAGAATCCATTATGGGCCAGGCCTGACCCTAAACGCATCATGTACATTATCACAACAACATAACAAATCCTTAAAGCAGCTCTGGGGCCCCACTTCCCCAAACAGAGGAAGACTCTGAGGCTCGCCGTGCTCAGCTGACTCAGAATTTGAATCTAGACTTGCCAGGCCTCCAAACCTTGCCACTAACCATGTTGTCATCCCTTGTTCATTTGTAACTTACAAGCGAAACAGAAAATTCAAGGGGCATTCGGGTCAAAAAGGTCAAATGCAAGAAGCAATGAGAAAATGAGAATTTAATGTGTAAATAGGCTCGGATTATAGATACACATTCTTGCCAGGACAACAGGAACATTCAGTGACAATAAGAAGATGGAATTAATTTAAAAACGAGACTTTTTTTTTTTTTTTTTTTTTTTTAGGGGAAATCTTAAGAGGTGCCTCAAAAAATGTGAGACGCACATTCTGGAGAACAGAAGGGCAAATTTCTACGGCAGAGAGGACACGAAGTAAAGTTGCCGGCGGAACGGCAGGTGCGATGTGGCCGGGGTGGTAAGGTAGATTTATTGCCTCGGACTCACTAGGGGAAGTAAGAAGTGTGGTGCTCCACTCTTATAAGACCCAATATCTCACAGGGACATCTCAGAATTAAATTCAGTATTGGAAAGTGAAAACAGAAAACCCTCTGGGGTACTGGGTAACAGGGCTTAACTTAAGCTCACACTTCTGTGCTGCGCTTTTAAGAACTCCCGTTCCCCTACCTTTGCTTTGTCTTCATCTGGCTCTGTTTGCCTTCTGACTGTCTTTGACACTCATAATACATTTAGCTGACTTATTCCAGTAAAGAATGAAGCGTCTGCCAAGCTGCCCCTCGAACGCGCCAGCTCCAGCCTCTCTTCTCCCTTTCTCCTTACTGCCCTCCCTCGCTGCTTTCTCACTACTTACTTCTTCTGTCCTCTTTCTCGTTCTTTCCCCCTGCTCAATCCCCCCTTTTTTCCTCATGAGTATTGATTCTCCGTTATCTTTGTAGCTTCTTCCCGCCACCCCTCTAAGTGGTCTTTCTTCTTTCTAGTCCTTGCCAAGAGGCCAAAAGCCAATATGTACTTTTTCAAACCTTATCTTACCCCGAGAGTCCCAGGAAATAGTGTAGAATAATCAGAATGTAAATAAAATTATTCCTGGACAAAGAAAGCTGCAAACTAAGGCTGCATGGGCTAGGGGCTTCTTGTCTGCTCCTACAGCAGTCAGGGGGGTGTTTCTCAGCAGTAGCGGTCACCAGAGTCAGTGGGAAGCCTGTGACAATACCTGGTGATGCAGGTGGTGGGACTGGTCTCCAAGGACCACACTTTGAGAACCACTGGACTTGGGGACAACGCTGTCAGGCATCAGGGCTCAGCTGTGCAGGGTAACAGTCAGGCAAGGGAGACCTCAGAGGAAATGGAGACTTGTCCCTTGTCACATCAACAAAGGGACTGACAGCAGCCTCGGAAGCCCTAGAGAAGAGTTCCAGCAGATGTACTGGGGTGCAGGGATGGGGGGAGGACAAATGGGGAAAGCTCTGTATTGTGACCTTCTGGGAAACACCGAAGCCAGCTCCAAGTCCTGTCAGCCAGCCTCCCACTTGAGATTATGCATAGAAGCAGCAGAAGGGAATTCTCAGGGTCCCTTTGATCTCCTCCCAGATCCCCGGCCCTCTGTCTGTTTATCTCCCTCCTTCCCGGCCCGGCCGCCTCCTCTCCCTGCTCTGTACCCCCTGCCCAGAGGATGATTCACGCCACTCTCCCCCGCCCCTCTGCCCCGCTGCCATCTGTTTTTCTAATGATGGCAGAAGATGAGCTGTTCTGTTGGCCCACACCATAACAAAGCACACTCCATGCTGCATTCTTCCCGAGGTACTCTCAGAACCCTCTTTTATTGGTGTCATTTCCCCACCCAGTTTTCCCTTTTCTCTCAGACCTCACCCTTTCCCCCTCTCTGGCCTCATGTGGATCCCAATTTCCCAGAATTAGATCAAGAGACACAAAGATACAGAATCAAGGGGTGGATGTGCAGGCAGGCTGGGTGTTTATGGGGGAGGAGGTGGGGAACCGAGGGCTCCCTATTGCACACGGAGGAGCCAGAATTACCCAAGCGCTGCTGCTAAGTGGCTTATTTATTTCCAGGGTGAGATTTGGATGACAAAACCTGTTATGACTGAGACAGGAATATCTATATTTGTCACTGGCTATTCCCAGGGGTGGAGGGCTTAAACAGAGAGAGTGTGTGGGTACGTTGTGTGTGTAGAAGCTTCTCTCTCCCTGTGTCAGAATTCCTGGGCCATCCTTCCCCATTAAGACTCTCTCATTCTTGACTCTTCCTTGTTAACTCCAATTATTATAACTAAATAACTCTTAGCACTCTAAGTCTCCGTGGGGGTAGTGGGACCCACTATATAAAAGAAGTAGACAAAATGTCTTGAGGTAGTTGAGACCTACTTTGGCCAATCAATGGTATACTGCAGGTCTACCAAGAGCTGCAGGCACAGATCCCTGCATGACCCAGGGAGCTATTTTAAATGAGGTAAGTAGCCACAGGGAGAGGTAAGACTGTGCTAACTGCAGAGAATTGCCCTTCAGAGGTTGTAGCTGCTATCCAGACCCAGCTAATCCTTGTCATGGTTGCCAGACATTCTCGTTTTTCAAGAGAGAAATCTTTGTTCAGAAAGCTTTTTATATTTAATTTTATTTGAGGAATAGGTCTATGTGTATCATGTTATAAATGCACATGTGGATTGTATGTGAGGGAAAAAAAGCCTCAACTTTTAAACACTGGCAACTGAAATAAAAACTGTTTTTTGCCAGCTGTATGCTGGCACAAACAAATCCGTTTGTGGGCCATCAGTCTGCAAAACTGGGCTTAACTAAGCTGAAACAAGACCCGATGCCGGAATCCCCAAACCAGAAATAATTCTGACTTGCTTTTTGACTTATTTTTTATTAAGTCATTTGACGTGGAACCCCGAAGATCTTTGTGAGAAACGAAACAAAACAAAAATCAGACATCCTAGTGTCTGTCAGTGTGGGATTGTAGAGTCCATGTAATTTAAGAGATTTCACAAAGGTCAGGGAAGGTGGGGAGAGACCGGATCTTGAATCAGAAGGACTCAAGTTCTGTGAATTGACTGCTCCAGAGTTCTCTGGTCTGGGCTGGGAAAGGGAGGCCTACTTACCTCACATGACTGGATGCAGTGGACCAGAACGGGGTCTGGGTGCCATTGACGCCGGCCTGTGCACACGATGTTCTAAAGGGGAGCCGGAAAAACAGAAAACAAAAGCAAAGATATTTGGTCTTAGAGAGAAGGGGTGGATCCTGAGTTTAGCCTATCAGTTCAACTCCATTGCTCCATTGCTGGAGTGGCAAGGCTCCCATGGAGTCTTTATGGACTCTGTGGCCCATGAAGAAGTCTGAGGCCATCTATCCTTGCCTGTGAAAACCACCCACTCTGCTAGATGGAGAGAAATGGACAGTCTCAGTAGAGGAGATTTTTTTTGTCCCTTTCATCTTTCTCTTCCTTCCTCAAAGTATGAAAATGTTCAAAAAAAATAAAGCATTCTTAACACTATAATGAGCCTTATTTGGTTTTAGGCACAATATCTGTTCCAATTATTTTTACATTTTAAATAATGTTATAAGAAATTATGAGATAGTTGTGTTGTGTAAGAAACATTGTGGATTTGTAAATTAGCTTTATAAGAAGAGTTTTCAACTAAAAATGGATCTCAAAAATCCTAGATTACAAACTGTGAGTGCCAAGCCAGGACTAAAGGTGACATTGTACCCTTCGCAAATCTGGCTAGCACCATGCAGCCCTTCCTTGCAGGAAATAAAATAGTACACACACACTGGACAAGTGGCACTCATGTGAGATCACAGGAGCCCCGAATGGCACGGACACCAAGCTGGCAGGAGTGCGAACAGGTTCATGTTGAAACACCTGTGACAATCTCTTTCCCAATGGCCATTTCCAGATGCACATTTAAACAACTAGTCATCTACTCTTTGTCAGATAATAATAATTCATTTTCACTGAGATTTTTCTTTTTCTTTTTGTATTTCAAAATGTTCAAAGGATACACTTTTCTCAGGAAGAGAGAAAGTCCCTAGCAGGTTTCAAAGAGAAAAGAAGATGTTCTTCCTAGCTGGCTCCCAACCCATGCATCTGCAGACTCGCATACTCACGTTTTAATCAGTACAGTGGAATTCAGTGCAAACAAAAAGGAAAATAATGCACGATGACATATGAGCTTTACACAAGATGGCACCTCCAGTAATTGGAAATGATACGTTCTAGAATGCAAACACTGTGCAATACTCAGATTGGGAGACATTTGCACATATCAATATGCAGGTATATGAACACACATCTCATAGCCCATTAGGAGAATGAGAATCTGCAATATTTTCCTAGAATTATGCTACTAAAAACTAATACTCCTTCTTTGCAGCTTTCCTAGAGGTGAAATAAATAGTATAAATTCTCACGAAGTCTGATATCTAAAACTCCATATTGTAATAGATTATTAGAAGGTGACTTAGCTTATTATTGCACTAGAAAAAGAAAGATCACCAAAATAAATATACAGGGGGGCCATAAAGTTCATGTGCAACTTAAAATAGTGTGAAATTTAAAAACACACACAAACCTTACGGCCACCCTGTATAAGGTAAGCATAACGAGGGTGTTTGGCCTACTGAAAGTAAGTCATTCTCCTGCACTAAGAGTCACTTAAGCAGAACATTTCCATATGAACAATAATTCTGCTAACTAGAAATAATTCTTGTTTATGTTTTAAAGCAAGTTCCACTGGAATTCTGCTTAGCAATGGCCACGAGTACCATGCATTCAACAGAATGCAACATCCTAGACACCTTATAACAAACAGTACCCCAATGTCCACTGTAGAGTCAAATACCACTTTTTTCCTTTCTTAATATGTGTACACATTTTTTTGACACCCTCTTTATATACATGCCTCACTAGCTATGGGCCAGATGTCCCAGTGAGCAAGAGGATCTAAAAATCGTTAAACCTAGCTGTGGGCTTCAAAGAGCACAAAATTTTTGAGAGGAGGTCGTTGGAAGAAGGCTGATTCTTCCATACACAGGGAGACTTAGCCTTGGCAAACCCACAGGACAGTTCCAACCAGACCCATCTGGACATTCTGGAATGACGGTATCAGCTTCTCTTAAGCCTTCCCAGCCTCCTTCCTCACCTATTGCAGGAATGTTGTTCTTGTAAGACCCTAGGAATCCTACAAATGTATTGTGAAGGAAAAAAAAAAAAAAACTGTCTTTATTTTCGATGCTTTTTTTCCAATGTTAATTTCTCTTATTATTCCCAATTTATTATATTTTACATCTCAGTAGTTTTATGTAATTTTATTTTTTATGAGAGAACACGTGCTCATAGTATACAACATAACAGGCATGAAAGGGTGCAGTCTCCCTCTGACTTTTGTTCCTCAGCTACCCAGTTTCTTCTATCCTACATCTACATCTTTTTTAAATGTCATACAGAGATATTCTATGCACATGCATACATATGTCTATATATATATGCATGTATACGTTTTTTATTTTCTTACAAAAATTGTAGCGTACTACAATTTTATTTTGCTCTTTATTTTGGTTTATTGTTATATATTTGATTATCTTATTTTATTTTAAACAAAGGGGAAAGAAAGGAAAGAAAAATATAGAGCGAGGGAGGAAGAGGGGGGACTGGAAGGAGGCAGGAAGCACAGGAAGGGGGAAAAGAAAGAAGGAACGGAGGAAAAGAAGACATGTACCTGGGGGGTCTGTTTACTGTAGGGGATCTGAAATGTTGCATTCTGTTGAATCCATAGCACCCCATTACATGAACATGCTCTAATTTATTTATTTAACCAGACCATGTTGATAAATATTTGATTATTCTGAGTCTTCTGTTTTAACAAATAAGGCTTATGTATAAATCATGTGCGGTATATCCAGAGAGTAATTCATGATAGTGGAATTGACAATATCCATCTCATGGATTTTTTTTAGTGATTTATCATTTAGTCTCAAGACTAATTCAGATGGCTAACCCCTCCTACATCTCTATAAAAATTGCAAAAGTTGGTGGTACCTGTGACATATCCCTTTCCAGTCTGCAAAATCCTTGAAAACAGGGACGGTCCTCTGCTCCTATTTCTTAGCTCAGTGACATGGGAGAGAGATTTACACAGATTTGCCAACCACTAACTGTGATGTTGTGTCTCTAGACTTCTCTCATAAAAATCACCTGTCCCGTAAAGATGCCCCTTATCTATAAATATATTCACACACCATTGATTGAACAAGTATTTATTGATCATACTTGGAGGACAATTGCAAATATCTCTCAGGACTCCATTTTATGAGAATATTTGAGGTACAAAGGGTTGGTGAAACAAGAAAAAAAAGCAGGGAGATGAACCTAACTTTCCCATTTTCTGGAACACCTTTGACAAACTGTAATCATAACAGAAAGAGAAACTTTATATCCCCTGCCCACTTTACCATACCTTAGCATTTCTCTATATCTCCCTCCAGAGTATGTCACTACACAATCAATTAATGTCCTCTATATGTGTCCCTCACATATCATTATCCTTCCTTCCTCTCTACTGGTAGCCACTCTTCGGAATTTGTTATTGTTTCTATGCATTAGTACATTATCACAACTAGTGCTATTATGCTATTAGTAGGCAACTTCTCAGATGCATTGACTGTGAACAACTAAGTGCCAAGGATTGTTTTGAACATACCAAAAGGAGATGATTTATGAGAAGACCAGTTGAAAATTTTCTACTCGTCAAGCCATTTGAAAATTTCAAAAAGAAAGAAAAAGAAAAAAAAAGCAACAATAAGGAGGAAAGAAAAAAGGAAAAAAATAGAGTGGGGAGGATACAGGGAATGGAAGGAGGCAGGAAACAAAGAAAGGAGAAAAAGAAAGAAAAGGGGAGGGGAGGGGAGGGGAGGAGAAGGAGCCTCTTTGCCTCCTTGCCCTGGCACTGGAAGCCCATTCACTGTCTATGGAGAACACATCTTGCTCTATAAACCTGTATCTTACTCTTACTCTGTAAATCTACCTTTCTCCTCCTCAATAAACTTTGTTATATACTTTTTAAAAAAAGAAAGAAAGAAAGAAAGAAAAGAAAGGGAAGGGAAGAGGAGACAAGAGAAGGGGAGGGGAGGGGAGGGGAGGAGGAAGAACGGCAGACCAGTTAAGGGTTATTAGGACGGTTACAAGGCTGTGTGAAGGCTGTTGCCTGATTAAATGTCTTGTTAAAGGTCACAAACTCATGGTTAGCCAACATTAAGGTCTAACACAAAATTGCCCAATTATTTTTTAACAGGAATAGTTACTTGACAGAACAAGCTATTAATCACATCAGGCTACAAAGTCCTACCAATGCCCAAGTTTGTGACAATTTCCTCATTGCTACATGTACCGCCCTAAATAAAATACACTGTTGGTTTGTGTGTTTACTGAGACCATGTGTAGTACCCTACCCTGCAATTTGCCTTCTTAGATTCCCTTTCTCTTTCCTCCACGGGTCTCTTATCTACTCTTCTCTAGTGATGAGACACTTGAAGCCTATAGGGCATGAATGGTTTTGTGCATAAAAATGATGAAAAAGAAGGTCTGTTCATGACTTATGTCTGAAGTGACACTGGGTGGCAGCAAGCGTCACCGGAGCTGTTACACACAATGCATCCATCAGGAGGACACTCTGGGGTGTGCAGCTGGGCGCCAACAGCCAGAAGGAGAGTAAAGTTATAAAGGAGGTGACCATGGCTCTGGTCGGGGGCCGTCTTCCCTTATCCTTCCTGCTTCTCTGGTCTCTTTGAAGCATTCTGTTTTTATTTAAAGAAATTCTAATCTTTGGGGGAAGAATTTGGTTAAACAAAGTCAGAAATGATAAGATTTTGACAAGTCCAGTGGCTCATAATCTCAGCACTCAGGGAGGCCAAGGCAGGAAGATCCCTTGAGCTCAGTTCAAGACCAGCCTAAGGAAGAGCAAGATCCTGACTCTATTAAAAATAGAAAATATTAGCCAGGCCTTGTGGCAGGTGCCTGTATTCCCAGCTACACGGGAAGCTAAGGTAGGAGGATCTTCAACCCAGAAGTTTGAGGTTGACACCATGACAGACATTGACCTAGGGCAACAAAGTGAGACTCTGTCTCAGAAAAAAAGAAAAAAAAGAAAAGAAAGAAAAAGAAAAGATTTGCTATGATTCAGTTATGTTGAGGGGCTAGGGAGTTAAAGAGTCAGAGTTAGAGACTGTGCGAACTCACCCAGTGTAGCCACAGGGAAATCTCATTAACTTGGACCCATTAATTCATAATTATGATAGCACTGAAGAAAGAAAAGCATTGTTCAGTTTGAGTAAAAGGGATTTAGGAACAAAACAATAGAGGAAATGAGATGATGTGATGGCTGCTTTTGTCCTTCAGAATGAAGGCCTCTCAAATGCAACTTACGAAAATTTCTTTACATGCAAATAATTGCTTCGTTATATATAAAACAAAATTTTTCCATGAAATCAGTCTCCTGAAGGACCAGTGCTCTGTAAGCTAAAACATTAAGTTTATCTCTTTTAAAGTCACAAGATATAATAAAACACTCTCTTGACACCGTGGTTAAGGATAATCAAAAAATCCAACCTTACATAGGCTTGTTGAAAATTCAAAATGTTTTCTGTGTAGCCAGGCACAGTGGCTCACAGCCGTAATCCCAGAACTCTGGGAGGCTGACGCAGGTGGATTGCTTGAGCTCAGGAGTTTGAGATCAGCCTGAGAAATAGAAAAACTAGCTGGACGTCATGGTGGGCAGGAGGATCTCTGGAGTCCAAGTTTGAGATTGCTATGGGCTAAAATGATGTCATGGCACTCTATCCAGGGTGACGGGGTGAGATTCTGACTCAAAACAAACAAACAAACAAAAAAAACAAACAAAAGAGAAAACCCAAATGTTTTCTTTGAGAAACAGCCCCCAAGGAGCCCTTCTCCTCTACAGTCTCACATGAGGACCACGTGCCGGGCAACAGGTGAAAGGAAGGCCACACACAGAGGCGACACCACAGAGCCGGGAGAAGAGACCCTTCCTACCTTCAGGAACATCACAGTTTAGTGGGGAATTGGATTCACATGACAGGAAAGAGGAAAAAGAAAGAAAGAAAATTGAGGAAAGGAGCAAACAGAGATGAGAAAATGACAAAAGGGCTTCTAGCAAAAGGAAGCTAGGAGGGGAGCACCTGCTTCCCACACGCTCAGTGCAGATGGCCTGGGCTACAAGGGGCCCAGGTGCTGCCAAGTGCCAGGGTGGTGGGCAGATGGCCCCTGCTTCTGGGTACCACGGGCATGAGCTATGGGCACCAGCACTGAGCAGGAGTGTGGCTGCCCTGTCCCCACTGCCAGATCTGGCTGCTCCGTCACCTGGCCTGGTGGGTATTTAATGCACTGCCAGGGAGCCCTTCTGCCTGGCATCCTTTCTTTCTGTTAGGACTTTTCCTACCCCAGAAAGGTCTATATCCCTGTGTGTAATAGGAGAAAGAGTAAGACGCCGTCACAACAAGGGCCCAAGAAGTCCGTTGGGGAGTTTCAGGCCCTTACCTGTTATTTCCCACAGCCAGCATGCCCTTGAGACATTCCAAAAGAATAGTGTATCTTCACCTTTCTCTCTCTCACAGAAAATGCTTTTAGACATTGTTTCCTTAGTTAGAAGTGTTCCAATAGGAAACATTGCATAGCCATTAATTCTTTTCCTCACTCAGTTTGTAAAAGGGACAGAAAACCACAAATGATCTAGACATTTCTGTCTACACACACACACACACCCCCCTACAAACACACACACAAACAAGCAAACTATAGAATATTTTTCTTCCTCATGGAGATAACTAGTGATAATCTTTTCAAAGATGGAGGATATTTCCAGGGGCAAGATGTGTACTAAGTGAGTTGAAATCTCACTTCTACTTAATTAAGAACTGGGTGCTAGAAATGGCCAAGGTGTTTCACATGTGCTATTTATTATTATTTTTATTTTTAGACAGAGTCTCACTATGTCACCCTTGGTAGAGTGCCGTGGCATCACAGCTCACAGCAACCTCCAACTCCTGGACTTAGGCAATTCTCTTGCCTCAGCCTCCCGAGTAGCTGGGCACCCGCCACAACGCCTGGGTACTTTTTGTTGTTGTTGTTGCAGTTTGGCTGGTGTGGGGTTCGAACCCGCCACCCTTGGTATATGGGGCCAGCGTCCTACCCACTGAGCACAGGCACCGCCCAACACATGTGTTATTTTTAATCCTAATAACAACTGTATGGGAAAGATAATATTATCCTCACGTCTGCAGAGGAGTAGACAGAGGTTCCAAGGAGTAGGTGACATTGCATGTGAACTCAAGCGTACCTCATTCTTCTTTTTATGTCTGTTGCTACATTGAGTTGTTTTTCATCCAAACCTCAGACTGCCTAACTCCTCCTACATTCTTTCTTTCATAAAAAGTATGTTATTCTGGAAGTCAGGCATCATTTGTAAGAATAAAAAAGCAGAACCTCCAGAGAAAGGCAAATAAACTCTGCAGGCATATAAAAAGGATACTTGATCATTCTTTAAAAACAAACACACAACATGTCTTCCACAACAAGGAAAAGCAGTATGGTAGGAAATAACTCCCTTAAATTATCTTTTTTAGACATCATAAGGAGGGAAGGGGAAGGGAGTTTGGCGATGAAGCGTTTCTCATGTGGAGAGGAGTCTTATTTTCTATTTAATAGGAAAATCAATCCAAAACATATGCCAGGACCAAAAAGGCAAGATTACAGCAAACATGTTGATGCAGGGGTATCACAATGAACTTGGAGTCAGAAAAGTTGGTGGCATTTCTTTCTCTATTTCTTATCAGCTAGGCATTATCAGAAAGGTCATCCAACATCTACCGCATCTGCCAAATGAAGATAAAAATCTTCCCTTCCTAGCTTATTGGTTTGTGATGCAATTCAAATAAAAGTTTTATATATGTGCGTGTATGTACGTATATATATGTGTGTAATTTAAAAAATAATATAGTGTTATCCAAATGAAAGGTATCATTTTTTGTTACAAAGAATGAAATGTTGGGAGCAGACTAAGAAAAATGATGCAATTTAGTTCATTGCTCTATAGTCTTGCCAGATACAAAGGTATTTGAAATACCATAGACAGCAGGGACTTTTATAAAATAGGCAAGCATGATTTATTAAACAAGTGAGCCGTGCCCCAAGTAGGCCTGCTTACATTTAATGTATTTATCTTGCCAGGATTTTATTTTGTAATAGTAGCGTTTCTCCAAAGCCTCACAGTGCAATTACCTGAGGTGCTTGTTAAAGATGCATATTCCAAGCCCACCCACCTTTCCGAAGGGTGAAACCCATGCTGGTTAAGTGATTCTTAAAGGCACCAAAATCTGGTTCAGTGCCTGTAGAACAGTGGTTACAGCACCAGCCACATACACTGAAGGTTGAGGGTTCGAATCTCACCTGGGCCAGCTGAACGACAATGACAACTGTAACAAAAAAAAAAATAGCCAGGCATTGTGGCAGGCACCTGTAGACCCAGTTACTTGGGAGCTTGAAGCAAGAGAATCACTTAAGCCCAAGAGTTTGAGGTTGCTGTGAGCTGTGATACCACAGCACTCTACCCACTACCCAGGGTGATAAAGTGAGACTCTGTCTCAAAAAAAAAAAAAAAGACACCAAAATTTAAGATTGAGTACAACCCCCAAGATAAGTGAATTTAAGTTATGAGGATTTTACTCAATGTAGAGTTTCATTTATAGCTTTGGTTTATGAGACATTTCTTATTTCTGAGGACAAGGTTAGATTTCCCACTCGTCATGAGCCTCTGAGTGCCACAAATGATAGACATGGTGGGATCATCTGTGGTTGGTCCGAAATCTCATTTTAGAAGACCTGAGGCATATAAAGGCAGTCATCTCATCATGGCTTCCACTGCTTTCAGGACTCTTTTTCTTGTTCTTCTTTAACATAAATTTTCAGTCTCCTGAATATAGGGTAGCCCTTGCAAGTTTCATCTGTAAGGGACACTCTCAGAACTGAGAGCACACAGGCGACAGTTTGTTTTTCCACTCTACGGTAATGAGTGTTAACTATTACCTTAATCACCCGACTTTCTTCTGGCACCAAGCGTATCCATTAGGGGTCCATCAACACATAAAAATATTCTTAATTATGTTTGCAACTTTTGAAATTCTGACTGCTTGATTTTTTTCTCCCCCCAGGGACAAATTACTTTTATAAGATAAGAACGAGGCTCATTTTTCAAGTTACCTCAATTCTTCCCATACGTTTTGGAAGCAGTGAATTGAACTACTTCATTTTGTTTTCATGAAGAAATTCAGCACAAATCTCAAGAGTTCCTCTAAAGCAATCTTGCCCCCGATGAGCAGGGAGGAGCCCAGGAGCCCAGGCAGGGGAGGGGCGAGAGCGGGAAAGCAGTGGCTGGGGAGCTCTGCAGGGAGGTGGAGTCCTCAGCGGAGACCCGGAGACCCGGAGGGAAGGAAAGCCCAGAGCAGAGCTGAGGCTGGAGCAGGGGATCCTGCTGCTGACTGAATGAATAGCAAAGGGCCCAGGGAAAGAATTTCAGGCCTGGGAAGAGGGAACAGAGAGACCCAGAGGAGATGGAGACCCAGGAAAGGCCATCTTCTCTCTACTCCTAGAAGTCAGGCATCTGACTCTACCCCGTTCCTGCAGTCACTCCCCCATCAGCGGCTTTATTTTCACCTTTCCTCATCCTTTCCCTCCCACCCTTCTGTCATCTTCATACATGGATTTCTTTGGCTTATCCTAACTTTTCCTGTCCTACTTCTCGTTAGCAGTACTTTCCCCCTCTCCTGCCCCTTTCTGTTCTGTACGCCTCCAAGCCTTCCTTCCGTTTTCTCTTTCAAACTTTCCCTTAGATGGGGCCATCTCTTTTCCTCCAGCCTTCCTCTTTCCTCATCTTGATATTTGATCCTTCTTTCTAGGAATGATCCTGTGGTTGTTTGCTTTCAAGATGTTTTGAAAGCCTCTGGCATTCTGCCAGGGAATACCCTGTTGGTTGAGACTTGCTCTGCAGCCTCACATCTTCAGCACACAAAAATGTCCCTTTCCTCACCTGGACTCTGACAGGCTCCATCCAGTGCTCCAGAGTGTCGGCAGTGACGTTCTCAGGCAGCATCACTGGGTCACTGGGGGGGATTACACACGACGGGGAACACACGGCACCTGAAGGAACAGAAATTTACAGGAGATACTTGAACTTCCCTGACCTCCACCATTTTCATCCCGGAATCAATAGCTTTGATTTTTCAAGAGCAACTTCTCTCTGCATTAGGGCTCAGCACAATACGATGGTGGCAGGCAAGGATGACATTCATCTCCTGTGTACCCACAGGGATACTTTTACATGGATTGGTAAAGAGCTACTGCCCCATGTTAACTCCCTTTGCTCCAAGTGACCTGACCTCTGCCTGGCCCAGTATAACCCTCTACCAGGACCCCTGAATCTCTGCATGATAAACCAACTGAAAGATGAACTCCTGGTCCAGCCAAATTCTACAACCCCACTCCAGGGTTCCAGCTAGCAACAGTCTATCCTGATTGGCTAATGCCTTTTTAGTAAATTTAAGGCCATTCCTGCTTCTATGATCTTCTGGAACCTTATAATGGCAGCAACTACTATCTAAGAACTTGACTAGCTGGGGGAATAATGGCCTGGAAATTGTGAAATCACTCCAGGAATACTTTGTCTGTTGCTGTACTGAAGATCATGATACTGACTGCTAAGAAACCTATGTCATTAACAGAAGCAACAGAAAATCAGAAGCAGAGACTTTGGCCGTGTGCTGTCTCTCGAAGGAAAGTCTCACTCTGTTCCCTTACATGTGAGGTTCAAGTGTCTCCTAATGTTCTGTTCAAGAAAAACACTGTCAGGGCATTTTTTCATCTACAGACTTGATGACCGCCAAGTCTCTTTTTAGCTCTCACTATGCTTCTATGTTTTTCACTGACTTTTAAAATAATGAAAAAGACTCAAAGACTCTCTCTCAAGGACTCTAGATATGTAGGTACATGATATTTTAATGCAGAAATTAGAGGTTTGGAGGATAAAAACCTGTTTGTGAGACACCACTCAGGTGGCATATCTGAGGTCCCTGACACTCCATGCCTGACCACAAGACATCACAGTGCAAAGAGTACCTTGAAGATGGTAAAGAACCTCACAGAAGCCAGTGAGGTTTTGAATGAACTCAAATGGTGCCCACCGGCATTATGCAAGTTAGAACGCCTTATAAAATTACTCCTTCACAGTGCAGTTACAAAATTTAGAAGTATTCTCATGAGGTTTTGCACCAACTACAACTCTTTCTATGATTCGTAAGACCAACCAGGGCAAAGTTGAGTCAATATTACTACAAATCAGCTCCTGCCATGAAGACCTTTAATTGTAATTACTTGAATCAGAAGTTGTCCACTGGCTCTAGAGCCCAGTCCCCTGCAAAGAGAGATTAAACGGCAATGCATTCAAGTATAATCTCAAATCATCCCTTCCAGGAACAACCACAGACAGAATGGGGAAGCCCAGCACACACATGGTATGTGGCCACACATGCCCACTTTTCCTCTTGGAACTACAAATCCTGTCACAAATCCACTTGCTCTCAAGCCTGCAAATTTGCCTTAAATTTCACTTTTACTAAAGCAGCTAAGAGTCAACTGGCATTTCTTCTATCCACTCTTCAGATAGAACGGTGTATCTGATTCGAGGTCTAGCTAGATCTAATAAAAGGATGACTTGGGAACAGACTTCAACATTCTTTCCCATCCTTACCAATCCCGTATCCCTGCTCACACTTGTACTCCACCAAATTCAGCTCTGAGGGGGGTGGTGGGCATTCCCCTTGCAGGTTCTCACACAACTTGAACTCTTGGGTCCACAGTCCCTCCTTAGTGCAGAGGATGGGAAGCTGAAACACCAAAAGGAAAGAATGTCACCATGACTGTTGTGTTACCTTCATTAAGAGTGGTAAAAGTGGTTTGATTTAATGGTATTGTTCTCCATCTTCTAGAAGCTGGATTAAAAGACACTATAGAAACGAACTCTACTATTACTGGCCCACGGGGGTAAAAAGCCAAGACAATTCTTTATCTTGTCCATATGAAGAAATCATGAACAATTTTGCCACTGATTGTATTTATTAATGATGTATTCTCTTTTGGGTATAAGGATGTGATGAGCTGTCAACCATAGCCCATATATCCTGAGCTATTTTTTGAAATTTTTTTCCCTAGATGGTTTCATTTTGCATTGATTTATCCCTACTATCAGTCAGAAGTGTAGCAAAGGTCAGATTTTTTTCACGATGAGTTTCAGCAAGTGACACCAATTCATAATTTTCCTAAAGGTGTGTGTTTGCCCTTCTGCTTGAATGGACACACCATGGTTGTTTCTGATCTCACCCAAATTCTATTCCCTTTCTCTAGATGTATGCTAGTCTGGGTAACTCTTGGCTTCATGTCCCTGATAATTGCAAAGTATGCTCTATCTAGAACACAGAGACTAGTACAAACCCACAAAACCCAAGAAAGTCATATTTTAGAAATGTAGACAACCCTCCCTTCATCTGTCCAACTCATGGATTCCTCAGCCAATCAGTGCGAACAGATGTGTGTGATTTCTTGGAGGTCTCACTTTCTGGCATATTCTTTGTACATCTGTTCTGCGGTGCTTACCTGGGAGTGCTGGACACTAGATAAAGACCCATGCCAGGGGAGAAAGCAAGATAATTGATCTTCACCTAGGAAGTCTGCTTGATTTCCTGTCTCGTGTATGTGTGTGGCACTTGAAAAGATTCTAAAGTAAAACTGATTTTAGTCACACAAACACGATAAGACTGTGGTTTTCATTTGAGACCTCTCATGCCAAAATTACTAAGGAGGATAATAGTCAAAAAGCATTTCCAGCTTTGCTGAGGAATTCACGTGTCTGCTCAGGACTCTGTGCTACTAAAAAATTATAACGCTAGCATTCCTTGCTAACTTATGTCAGTGGCCATGCACAAGGGAAGATCATATCATATTCACAAATCAGGATCCTAGCATTTTTGGGAATGTAGCCAGGTCTCTTATCCACTGGGTTCTTCTTATCTCAGAGGAAGTTCTGAACTTAGGAGGGAACATTCCAAAAACTCGATACCTTCCAAATCAAAAAATATAACACCCTTGGTTAGAATGTCCATCTTGGTAAGTCTCCACCTGTTAGGATCCATTCAGACCATTTCTACTTGACATTTTTGAATTGACCATCACGATGATCCAAAGTGAAGTTCAAGAAATCTACTGTACCTTTTCACTTTCCTTGTTACAGTTGAGCACGCACTGGCTGTCCAGGTTGAAGCCATTGGTACACTCGTACATGCCTTCAAATACAGGAGAAGGGGACTCACATACCACAGGAATGCAGCTGCCCTGCTCCCAGAATCCACCTTCCAGGCACTGTATCTTCAAGAACTTGCTGATAAAACAGACAACAAAATAGCTCATCAGGCTCCTTCAAAGAGGCCACAAGAGAAGGCCTGACCCTCAGCAATATATGATAAGGATTAGCAAATAGGCAAGGGAAGAGGTTTTTTGTTAGTCAAATGTCCCACTGACCTAGTTTAAATCATGGAACTAAAAATACGTGGGTCATGACAAAAGTTTCGAGACAAACTGAGCTATGGTCCATGATTTCACTTCCAAGAAACACAGTCAACATCATCCCTTCTGATTCACCCGTGAAAGTTGCAACTTGTTCAGCTTCTAAGTGCTGCAAAGAGGGCTTCATTCATTTTCATCTGCGCAGATGTGTCTTGATTTTTGTGTATCTCAAAACTTTCATAATTATCTCTAGTAATCTTCATTTATTAGCCTTCATAGTAGTAGGTGCTACATAGAAATAGCTGAAATATTACTCTCGGGAATGTTTGATAGATTGTTTACAGCCAGGTTTTCCTGGAGATTTTCATCTTGGAGAAAGGTCTTACCTCCTAAGTCCACTGGGAAATCCCGTATAGCAGGCAGTATTAAAAAGGTTATCACACATTCAGGGGAGTAATCAGAAGTGATTTGAGAATCATCAGGGGGTATAGCAATATAACTGATAAAGTTGCTAATATTTATTTGTTCTTCAGAGAGGGGAGAAGGTGCAGCAATATGTAAGTGTTCATTTAAAACAGAGACTCTCAAACGAACTTTCAGAAGGACAATAGCCTTCCTGCCATTACTGTAACTGTTTAGTTTGTTTACAAATGAATTTTCCTTGGAAAGGGTTCATACCTTTCACCAGATTTTCTGAGCAAAGATGACTCAATACTGCTCTGGAAGAACTGTCCCTTTTCTCCCACACAGACACGGGCCCCCGCCAGAAAGCCTGCCTATGGTGTGCACAGGAGTCAATGAAATTGAGGCTCTTGCTACTGCTAATTTCATTCCGTTCCCCTTTGGGCTCGCTGCAATTTAGTGATCCTTTCCATTTTGCTGTTTTTATACATCCACTTTTGATTTCAGAACACTCTTGCTTACAGATAAGCTTGTGATTTTAAGATGCAAGTAACCCCTCGGCCACTGACTCTCTCAATCATGTGGCGGCCTTAAATTGACATTTTCTAGTGTCACCATGCCCCCTTGAACTCTAAATATGCCCACCATCCCAGGCATGCTGGTTTGTTTTTTTCTTAACTGTGTGCCTTCCCTGTCCCAGTACTCTGATCTTACACTAGTGTAATATTTATCTGATTGTCTTATAAATGCGCACACTTCCCACTAGATTGGAAGCTTCCAGGAGGCAGAGGCTATGTGCTATTCCTATTTTCAATTCCTAGGAATTAAAATAATATCTGGCTTATATTAGGCATTACATAGATATTTGCTGAATTGAATCACTGAGCTGAAATTAATAGCATGGTAGGCATGCTGCAAGGCACATTCCATACAGTATCTAATTGAATCATCGCAATATTGCCAATGAAATAGTATGTTTATAGTATTTTAAATAAAGAAACACACTGAGAGAGGCTAAGTAACTCATCCAAGGTCTTATATCACTGAATGCATTTGATTTTCAATAATTTTAATAATAAAATATTTTAAGAGTTTAACAGAGGTTAATAATATCTCTTTAGAAATAACGAGTAGAGTGTTTTCTTATTAAATAGTTATTTAGATTCATACCTCTACTCTAAGGATTACGTTAGGATTTCTTTAACAATGTAGTCTATGTGGACATATACCTACTAGCTATTAAAAATAAATACCATATTTCAGCTATGTTTCAGGTATTGAGCAGGACAACTTACATACATTATTTTGTTAAATCCTCAAACAGCCCTTAAAGGTACATATGATTAGCCGCACTTTAGAGACAACAACTGAGCCTGAGAGAGGTGAAGTTCACTCAGCAACCCAGAGGGAACCCTGTAGGCAGGACGTGGACCTGGGGCTGCCCACCACCGAGGCTCGTGGTCCTTCTGCCACATCAGGCTTTTACTGTTCCTGGTGTGTGGCCCTCTGTCTGGATGCCACATCTGTAAGTGTGGCCCAAAAGAAGAAGTGTCACCTAAAAATTCTGTACTGGGTAATGAATTGCATATAGAGAAATCCACAGATCTGAGTATACAGCACAAAGCATTTTTACATATGAATACAGCTGGGTAGCCATTGCCCAGATCAAGATACAGAACACTTCCAGCCCCTCCGCACTCTCTCTCGTGTTCTTTCCCAGCTGGAATCCCCACCCCCTCAGCATACAGCATCCTGTAACACACACGCTTCCGACTTTCATCAGCATGCCTGAGATTTGCCTGCTCTTTATACGAATGAAATCACACACGATGTACTGCTAGTGTATGGCTCCTTTCCTTCCAGAAAGATGACATTTAAAAATGCCTTCCCAAATCTATTTTCAATGAGGGGTTTGCAGCTCTTTTTTTTTTCTTTTTACTGTAACGAGTCTCCTTTTTGCCCCTCTCCCAGACTGGGTATTTTACTCTTTCTTCACACTGCAGAGTTTATATCCTCCCAGGGATTCTCTCCTTTCTGCCACCTCCCACAGATAAAATCCTTCCCACTACCTCTGCTGAACTGACATCCCCCAGCTGGAGAGAGTAGGCAATACCACTGCCCCTCGGGAGAGGCAAGGCTGTAAAATCCTTGCATGTCAGCATGGTTATAAAGGAAAACCCTTGCTTGGCCAGGATGATAATATTTTGATTTCATGTGGTATTTTTCTCTGAATTGGTTGGAAGACTTCGACCATGGAAATAGTCCTCCCTTTCCTTGCCCAGAGTAAAGAACCATTCAAGAATGCTGATTTTATATTATATATTTCTTTGCCAGTTTAATAACCTCAGGGGTGAGGGGAGGCAGATCAAACTTGGACAAGGAAGAGTGAGTTTGGGTGTTTGGGGTGGTACCCAGATGACGTGACGGGCCCTGTGTGGCAAACGGCTCGCAATACAGGGAGGGAGGCTGCTGTGAGGAAGAGAGAGAGGCAGGGCTCACACGAGTGTCCCTGGACCCCAGGGGAGATGACTTGGGAGTGAGGAGAAGCTGCGGAGCAGGTCTGAGTTCTGACTCCCTGGGAGATCAGTTTCCCTTCCTCAGGGGGTCCTCGGCCCATGGATCCTCCTTCCGCACAGTTTCTTCTACCTTGTAGGGGAGATACGTATGCCGCCCTCTCTCCAGGATCGCTCACGGCTTCTGTACCTCTCTATACCAGATAATGGCCTTTAAGCCCCACTCTCAGTCTTCCAACAGAACACTTAATTGATCCGGTTCCTCATGGCCCGATAGTGGGCAAGGGCTGCCTCGTTCTGTCAGATACACACACATACGTGTCAATACCGCAACTCTTGCAATTAACTTGGCACTTAATCCCCCTAAGGTGGTTCTGATCATTTTGTTTCAAAAGAGACTGTGATTGTGCCAGGAATTCAGAGCATCCTGGGTTCTTCCCAGTTCCAGGAAGTTTGGTTTCCCTGTAAATCCCCCCGAAGGGGACTGAAGACTAAATCTTGCGACCCGTCCTGTTCAAATTTCAGTTTCTTAATGTTAAGAAATGAGGGTTTGTGGTACCTCCTCCACCTCAACTCAGGTGGCGAAATCTTAACTCCCAGTGTGATGGTATTGGGAGGTGGGACCTTGGGGTGGGTGGCTAAGTCATGAGGGTGGGGCCCTCCTGGTAGAATTAGTGTCTTAGAAGAAGAGACCCTGGAGTTTGCCTTCTGTGTGCACTGCTCAGCAAAGACAGCCTTCCGCAAACCAGAGAAGGCACCCGCGTGCACTTCGGTCTTGGGCTTCTCCATTTCCAGACCTGTGAGAAATGTAATGTTTGTGGTTTAAGCCCCCAGTCCATGGTATTCTGTTACTTCAGCTCAGACTGAGACACAGCAATGGCAGAACTTTGATTTCCAGTGGTGCCACAGCTGCTTCTGTATTTCTTCTACTTTAGTGTTGTTGAGGAGTGACAGTCTGAGCTCTTTTAAGATAATTCTTTAAAAAATTCCTATGAAGTCTATGAATCAAGAGACTCCTCAAAGTTACGAAGTGAATAGATTTGCATTTCACATAATGATGGCAAGGATACTAGACAACGAACAGAGACTAGCCCTTACCAGGACAGAGATTCTAAGACTTCTTTGATAGCCAAGTACCTTTTATATAAAATATTCTACTCACTTTCCATCAGCTTTCTGTACAGCCTTCATACCAGTGGAGCAAAGGAAGAGAAACATTTCAATTTATAAGCAGGAAATTGCACGTTAGTAATTGTAAGGTCATTTCTTCAACGTCATACAGCCAGCAAGTCATTGGCAAAAGCAAGAAAATATTTCAAATTTTTCAAATCATAATTTAACACCTCACTCATTTGACTAATGGTTTCCACATGACATGTGTGGACTGGACATATCAGAATAATAGGAGGCATTTACAAAACAGATCTCCAGGCTTATCAAATCAAATCTCCCAAGACTGGCCTAAGACTCTGTATTTTTAAAAACTCTCAAGTAGATTTTATGCATAGCCATGTTGGAGAGCTACTAAAATCTATGCTACTTTCCCTTTCTGATAAAAATAAGCCATAAGAATAGAAACCAGAGAGCAAGATCACCTACCTACCAACCCTACAGCTGTCCTGTTTGGTCTTTACTAAGCATCCAGCCTTCTGGTTCTACGTTTTCTAGTTGGGCAATCTTGCTGTCTGAATTCTTACTTACTCTGTAAAATGATATTATGAGGAGCTGGGGTTGGGGAAGGTTTGAATTTATTTTCCCTCTAACTTCTCCAGAAAGATAACCACAATTTCCAAGTTAGAAGGTGCTTTTTTCAATTTCCAGAATTTGTGGCATCCACCTCCTGCTGAAAATCCAGCTGCACCCTTTCTGCCTCTTACATCATTGCCAGAAATGAAGATCTTGTAATCAAAAGTTGGCCAAAAGTTTGATTGATGTTGCTCAAGACACACACAGGTCTACC